CTGAATTTCGGTGAAATTAAAAACCGAACTTTTTAAATGTTTCAAAGATCACGCTGCGGCCTCTGCCCTCATGTTTTTATAGTGGCAGCCTTGATTCTTTTTTAAGAAACCAACCAAAACAACACAGGGGAACACGGAGCTAGGGACTCATATTTCAGTTTGACTAAATACCCATTAGAAACACTTACACGTAAAACTTTTCAGAACCAAGTCATCGTTCAGAAAGCAAAATCAACAGTCAATGGGGCCAACTGTTCAGCTGGAATTAGCAGAACAATGCTTGCAAAGCTGGACCGTGAATCCCAGCACGAAGTGAGTTACCAAAGTTTGTCCTTCTAGGTGGAAACTGAGCCCGAAAACCCCGAGTGGCTTGAGTGGGAAGGCTCTACAAACCCAGTTTTCAATCCCTAAGTTTTGGGCTTTTAAATAGGAGCTCTCATACACATAAAAACCGGACCGGAAGGCAGGTGTGCAGCTGACCCTCTGATGTTTCCAGCACTCAAAGTCTGGGGGGTTGGGGTCACACGCGGGGCATTTCGAGTCCTTCTGTGCTGCAAACTGCCATCTAGTAAAACTCGCTTTGCATAGAAGCAGGAGGACTGGCGCTTCTCCTGAAGCCCGGTGTTTTTTGGAAGCCCCAGCCTCGGATGAATGAGCCTTAACTCCCCGGATGCGGGTTTACTTGCATCCTCACGTGGGACCCCGCAGACACAGAAGCGCTGCGCCCTGGACCGCGCGGGGCGCGCGGTGGGACCCAAAAACTTTACTTTGCAAACTTGCGGTGCTGGGCGGCAGCTCGGAGGCAGATTCCCTTGCTTTCCCGCGAACTGCCCCCATCACCAAGCACACGAGGGCTTGCTCAGTTCAGCACCACCCCCCTGCCTGCAGTCTCATTCACACAAAGGCGCGCGGGTCCCCACGGGACCCTCTCCAAAGTTGCGCAGAGAGAAGTGAGATCAGAAAGAGCCGCGAGGCAGAGGACCCGGCTGCTCGCGGGCTACTCACAGGGTGACCGTGCGGTTGGGCAGCGTATCCGGGGGCAGGACCTGCGCGAGCTCCAGGCTGCTGCACACCACCTTGCCCTCGGCGGTGCCCGCCGCCCTGCCGGTCCCTCGGGGTCGCCCATCGTGCTTGCAGCCGGGGGGCAG